CTCTCTCTCTCTCTCTCTCTCTCTCTCTCTCTCTCTGTCAAAAATAAATAAACATTAAAAAAAAGAGCACAGTGGCTGGTACACAGTAGGTATTTAATATCAGTTCTTATGATGATGATTATTGTTCAATAAGCTGTCACTCCCTCAGGCTGGACACCTGCGAATCTGATTAATTAGGTACCTGTAAGAATTAGGTTGTCCCTGAGGCTTACATGAGTTACTACTTGTAAAGTATGGTCCTTGAAATACAATTAGTGCTCAAACAATGCTGGTTATCATGATTATCCTTCACCATCTGGCTGATTCCTGATAGCCCTCAGGGAAAGAGCACCATTTTGCTGTGCCTTATACTCACATGTCAGGCAGACCATGGCGAGGCGGATGGACAGGTCCAGAGGCAGTGCCCAGCGCTTTGACACCTGCGAGGTGGCAAAGGGGATGATGATTTCTGCAGGGACGTAGAACTGCAGGGCGTAAGTGCACAGGATACCCACGATGTACAAGAGCTTGACCGACTGGTACAGCCTGCGGGACAAAGCAGAGCATTGCTCCCTGAGGCCACTGTGCTCTGATGCCTGGGCCCTAGGAACATTAACCTCTGACCTTGGGATAGTCCCCGGGGCTGCAGTTTCCTTGTCAACATGATGGGCAGGGGGCTTCTTGGAGCTAAGAGGCAGTCACAGCAGAGCATGCAGTGAAAACTAAAGAATAAAGTATCACGAATTCGAATGGAAACGGGTCATCTCCAAATAGAATCTTGAGCATGGTTACATGCAACACCTTCACAAGCCACTATCACTTGGTGGTCAAGTTTAGGTTTTAGGAACTACAGGCTCAGGCCAGGTACCCTGTGCAGGGAGACAGAAGTGTTAAGTGGTGAAGACCAAAAACCCTGGGTCTAAAATACTCTCGTCCCTTGTGATCTAATGTCAGTCCTTAGCAATGCTCTGGATTCCCCCAGAGTTCTTGGCACATAACAGGCCCTCAACAAATGCCTCTAGTGGGTTGAGAGAACTGCAGAGTCCCGAACCCTTGCAGGAAGACGCGGTCTACAAATAGGGTTGTGTGCAGGCTGGGGGTGAAAGTAACCCTTGTAGGCCTTGGACTGAGGCAGAGACGGTATGTCGGGTTTTACCAAAGCCTGTTTTGACCTATGGAGATAGGACTTTTTCCTTTAGTTGACTAATGTGGTAGCTACATCTCACATACTTAAGAAATGAGTGTGTGTGTGTGTGTGTGTGTGTGTATGTGTTGGGAGCCATTCCTTAGACTAACTTCCACATTTCTGAGTTTCTTGTTCTCACTAGTCCTTCTGCCTGAAACACCACTTACTCCATTTCCACAGGTCCAAATCCCACTAATTTTTTTGAAATTCCCATCTTTTGAGCTATACTGCACGCCAGATATTTTTAGACATGCCCAACTTAATCCCCAGGGAAACTCTGCATTATCGATGAAGAAACTGAGGGTCAGAAAGGTTGAGGAAACCACCCATGACCACAAGCTAGAAGGTGGCGCAACAGAGACTTGGGCCCATGAGTGACAGAGTCGTCCTTGTCTGGACAGAGCTGCCTTGTTGGACAAAAAGATTCCCGTTCTGATGGATTTCTTTCCTCAAAGGTTCCCAAAGCCTCTTTGCTGCTCTGGAGGGCTCCTTTTTCTGTTCCATTTGTGTCTATACACTACCTATCCCTCCCCCATCCTCGCTGGATCACGAGCTGGGGCAGGTAGCGAAGTTCAAGATCTTAGCCTACTCAGTCGGTGCCTCCCAGCTCCCTCGTGCCTAGACTGGCGTCTCCACCTAATTGGCATGCAGGAAATGCTTGATGCATGACATTATCAACTTGAGAAAGGGGCCCCATTTAGGTAAATGAAGCCTCCAAGTGACCCTTAAAAAGACAAGCCCCCTGTCATTAATGACCTGCCTGGGTGTGGGAGACAGTGCCACACAACGCGATATGGGTTCATGTGTCTATTTAAATCCTGGCTAAGTCTGGGTCAGCTAACTGTTGCATGAATTGGTTGCATTTGAACATAAAATGTTCACAGTGGTCGTCCCAAATTGGTCCTTGCTTCACTACTTTTTTCTCCTACTCTGACCGGGAGGATGTATACCCTTGGCTGTGGCAAGGAAGGCTTGGTAGCATAGGCCTTAGGAAGTGTCGCTGGAAATGAGTGTTGCTGCCCAACGACTCCTTTCTCTGTCTCTTATTCTCCCCGAGGGCCCCTCCCTTCTCTCCTTGGGTGACCAAGGACTGTCACTTCTCTCTCTTCCTAAATCCTGTCCTCCATACTAAAGCTATCAAGGCCTCGCTCAACACGGGAGGCTGTTGTTCAAAGAGGAGCTCCCTGGACAGAGAAACCAGAGCCCAGGGTGCCAACGACAGTTCTGCTTCTTGCTGTGGAGGCCCTGTAGGCCTCAGTTGCCATCTGTGGAAGGCAGGAGGAAGTAACTCACACATTTCTACCCGGCCCCACGTCCCCCCCACCTGAGGGCCTGTGAAGTTACCAGCAGTTGGGTAGGTTAAGGGTTATGCTGGCCTTGATGTCGTTTCCAAACCGCAGGTAGCCCAGGGCCCCGATGCCAATGTACAGGGCAGTGATGATGGACATTCCCAAAGACAGGATGGCTGGGAAGCGGCGGGCATCCTTCATCTTGTTTTCCAGGGGAAGAACCTACAGAAGCATCATAGCATAAAAAGAGAGAAGAAGGAGAAAGAGGAACATGAACATAAAGAAGAAAGGCATGACACTTCTGAGTATATCCCAACATACCGGAAGCAAGGGCTGGAACTGATATTCATAGCAGCATTATTTCCAAAGCCAAAAGGCAGTAGCAACCCAAGGGTCTAGTGATGGATGAATGGATAAACAAAGACGGTATATACGTACGACGAATATCATTCAGCCTCAAAACAAAAGGAAATTCTGACACATGCCGTAATACGGATGAACCTTGAGGTCATTATTCCGAGTGAAATAAGCCGGTCATAAAATGGCACATACTGCGTGACTCCATTTACATGAGGTGCCTGAAGTAGTTAAATTCAGAGAGTCAGAAAGTAGCATGCTGGGTTCATGGAGTGGGGAGTGAGTGGTTATTGCTCAATGGGTACAGAGTTTCGGTTCTGCAAGAAGAAAAGAATTCTGGGGACGGATGGTGGTGATGGTTGCCCAATAATGTGAATGTAGTTAATGCCACTGAACTCTACACTTAAACATGGTGAAGACGGTAAGTGTTGTGTTAGGTGTATTTTACCACAATAAAAGACGAAGGAAGGAAGGAAGGCCGGCCGGCAGGCCCGGACTCACAAGATGAGCCCTGGAACATTCAGAGCTGGAAGGGCTCTTCAGGTTGTTCAGACCAAGGAGATCAGTGCCCTGGGGCAGCCCCATCTGGCTAGCAGATGCATTTTGTTAGGCCAGCATAGCCTTGTAGACAATTGAAGGTGAATGCCTTTGGGCACAATATTCTTGCCCCATTCACCAGGCCCGCCTCTCCCCTCACATTGACATATACCTGGCCTCTTTGCCCACATTGCCCGCTAAAGGCATTTGAGTTTGAGACTTCCGATTCTAGCGCATTTGCTGCTTTCTGTCCAGAAGGGGAGGCTGAGACTCGGCTTACACAGTGAGCCGGTGACAAGAGTTGGGACTGGGGGTTCTTGGTTCCCCAGCAGGACACTCCCCTGCACACCACGTTCTCAGGATCCTTTTTCCCTACGTGTATATCTGGCCCTAAGAGCGTCCGAGTTGAGACCGCCTACCTGGAGCCTGCTGGGCACCCCAAGGTCACGTCTATCTTTGGAACCAACCTTCTGGCCTTCCATCCCATATACGTTCCTCCTTAGGCTTCTCTCTGCTGACAGTCCGCTTCCACCTTCTCCTTCTCCTTGATCAGGCCATGGGTAAAGCGCACTCTACACACACCATTAGGCTGATCTGTGCTTCAGTTTCTGTATCTGAAAACTTATCTGTTGGAATTTTTTTTTTTTTTGAGATTTACGTGAGGACCGTAATGGCATACAGTAAGGGCTTAGTAAATGTTAACTGTTCTTGTTTTTAATACTGTGAAGACCACATCTCTATGAAGATGGAGCCTATATAATTCTTATTTTGCAGATGAAGACTGCGGCAGACTGGGGCTGTCCCCCAAAGTTCAAGTACTTGCTTCTATCCAATCTTGACTGTACCCCTCCAGTGCTGGATATATTTATTACTCGGTAGGACCTTAGCATCTACTCCCTTGTACTGTTGACTCCTTTTTTTGTCCTATACGCATCCCAGCTCTATGCAAATGGAAAATGCTTGAGGGGAATGCCATGTCAGGGTCATGGTTGTGTCTTTCCACTCTCCTCCAGATGAGGGGCAGGCTCCTAGCTGTGGCAGGTGCTCAGGAAAATGTCTGGGGGATTATATGGAAAGCGAACAATCCAACCTGAGTTCTCCCACCCTGCAATACATTTTTGTTATTAATTTTTAATGTTTTATTCTTTATTTTTGACAGAGACAGAGCATGAGCAGGAGAGGGGCAGAGAGAGAGGGAGACACAGAATCTGAAGCAGCTCCAGGCTCTGAGCTGTCAGCAAAGGCCCGATGTGGGGCTTGAAACTCACAAATTGCAAGATCATGACCTGAGCCAAAGTCAGACATTCAACCGATGGAGCCTCCCAGGTGCTCCTGCAATATATTTTTGCTGCATAAATTCTCCAGGCTCACAATGACTTTTTTACTCAGTAGCTGGATTTCTCCTTCTCTCCTTTCTCCTCCCACAATCAATCAAGGAGATAAATGGCCATTCACATAAAGTGGGAAGTCCCTGGACTGGGAGTAAGGAGTGCTTGGTTTTAGCCACAGCTGCAGCTGTTCCCGGTTGGTGACCTGACTCAAGTCCCTTTCCTGTCAGGGCTTAGGCTCCTCTTCTGTAAAGTTGGAGACTGGGCTAGAAGATTTCTAGTGGTAATCTGAACTCTGATACTGATCATCATTACTATCTAGTAGGTGTTTGATACTTACTGAACAATTATTTCCATCATTAGCTGGGGAATTAGAGTTCAGAGAGTAACCCATGGCTGAAGTAAGATTCCAGCATAGTCTGCCTCCAAAGTCATTTACTCAACCACGGCACTCTCCTTTTTGCCATGAGTATCCAACATTCTAAATATAAAGTGCTTCCATTTCCACTAAGATGGTGTAAGCACGTTCCACCATAGCTCTCTTTCTGATTAAACCTAAAAGCCCTGGGCAGGATACACAAAACAACTACCCAAGGACTCTGAAAAGTATGAAGAGGGTCCCTACTTTTTTGTTTCCTTTTTTACTCTCAACACCACACTCCCAGGGCAAGTCCCCATCACAAAGCAGCATCTTGGTGGACCAGTGACTGTGGTGGTCACACAGGCACCTAAAAATCTGACACAAGCTTTTCTCTTTGAGCAAAGGAACTAGGGGAGGGGGACTTGGGGGTCTATAGAATGTAGGGGTAAATCAGCACTGGTATATAATTTGCAGGGTCTAATGCAAAATGATAATGCAGGGCACCTTGTTCAAAAATCAAGAATTTCAAGATGATGAAGGCAGAGCATTAAACCATGTACGGGATCCTTCCAAAGGCAGGTCTCCATGTGATCGCACAGGTTGCATGTCCATGAAGAAGGCCCTGGAAGGAATCCCTATTCATTCATTCATTCATTTTTATTTTAGTTTTTCCCTCTCTTTTCTCTCAGTGCTTAACCCCAGTCAGACTCAGTCACAGGAAGTGTGCATAGCACTATAGGGAGGCTAAAACCCTAGCTTTCTAGCCAGAGAACCAGAAAAAAAAAAAAAAAAAAAAGCCACTGGAAGCTGATGAGTGTGCAGGAAAACATGGATAGGAGGATGCTGGAGACACTGATCTCCTGCATCTGTGGGTGAAGTCCTGGGCTCAGCCCTAAGTTGTGCATGTATGGAAATGGGATGTGAAAGATCAAAACATTATTTAAAGAAATGAAAGAAGACCCAAATAAATGGAAAGACATCCCATGTTCATGGAAGACAATACTGTAAAGATGCAGAGGCAATTCAATGGAGAATGAACAGTCTTTTCAACAGATGATGCTGGAACAATTGGCCATCCTATTAAACAAAAATCAACTCCAATGTATAAACATCTTTAACAAAAATTAACTCAGAATGGATCACAGATCTAAATGTACGATAAAATTATAAAATATTTAAAAGAAAATATAGGGGAAAATCTTTGTGGACTTATGTTAGGCAAAGTGGTTTTAGATAAAACATCAAAAGCAGGATCCATAAAACTAAAATTTTGATCTACTGGACGTCATCAAATTTTAAATCTTTTGCTCTATGAAAGGCACTGCTAAGAGAATGAAAAGACAAGCTACAGACTACAGAAAATATTTGCAAATTATATATCCAATAAAGGACTTGCATTTGGAATATGTATAGAATTCTTACAATTCAACAACTGTTAGGTCATTTCCAGTTTATGACTATTATGAACAATGTTGCCATTGTCATAAATTGGAAACAACCTAGCTGCTCTTCAACAGGTAAACCGATAAACAAATCGCGGTATTGCCCACACAGTGGATGTTCAGCCATCGAAAGCAAGGAGCTATTGATGGATGCAACAACACAGATGATCTTTTAAAAAAAATATATGTATATATATATATAAAGTTTATTTGAGAGAGAGAGAGAGAGAGAGAAAGGGCACTCACGTGCATGTGTGCACAAGCAGGGGAGGGGCAGAGAGTGAGACAGGGAGAGAGAGAGGATCCCAAGCTCCGATGCGCGGCTCGAACTCACGAACAGTGAGATCATGACCTGAGCCGAAATCAAGAGTTGGGCGCTTACTCAGCTGAGCCACCCAGACACCCCACAACACAGATAATCTTACATGCAGTCTCAAAAGGTTACATACAGCATGACCTCATGTGTATGACATTCTGGAAACAATAAAACAATAGAGACAGAGAATAGAAAGAGGGTGGTTGCCAGGGGTCGGTGGGGGGCGAGAGCTGACTACAATGGGAGCAGCACAAGGGTTTTGTGTGTGTGTGTGTGTGTGTGGTGAGGGAGTTGTTCTGTGTTCTGATTGTGGTGTATCTATGACTCTATGCATTTCCCAAACTTAGAGAAATGTACACCCCCCCAAGTGAATTGCACTGTATGTAAACTAAAAGTAAACAAAAATTACATGCACAGCACTTCCCTTCCTCAAGTGTGGAAGCACAAACTATATAATAATCCATCGTAAACGTGTAGTACTTTCCAGCTTAAAACTCCTTTTGTTTCTTCATTACATCCTGTAAATTGTATACCTCCGTTTGCCTTGCTTTTAAAAGATTAGGAAACACATGTTGGCATGAAGATAAATGTTTAATAGATGTATTGGGACAAGAGGTTACTTTCTCTTATGTGCACACAGAAACCCAGAAACCCAGAGCTCCCGGCTCCTGTTCAGAAGGCCACCCACAGCACCGGGGAAAGGCTACCCCAATTCCAACCTTACCACGCCAATGCTTTCAAATGAAAAAATGGCTGTTCCAAAGAACAGAGGATAGGTCTTCCAACTTGCTACCAGTGGCAACCGGCTGGGGTCTGGAATTTCCTACGGAAGAGAGAAATGTAGTAGGACCTTATTCTTAAAGCGTGTTTGGGCTCATTTAAGAGGGGAATATTCTGACAGTAAATCTAAATTAAAAAACAAAAACAAAAATAAATGTCAAGAAATTCAGAAAACTTCAAAAGGAAGTAGGCACCAAAGCTGATTTTAACACCACACGATACCGAAGAGCCAGAGGAAAGAGACATTGAGGTATTCAAAGTACTGAAGGGTCAGGACCTCATGATGTGAGTATGGCTTACCAGAATCCTCCAAAAGAAAATCTTACACACCACAGGTTGGTACCAGCCTGAAATGCCCTTGGACACTTGGTATGTACCAGAGGTTAGGGGTGACAGAAAGTGCTGTGTCTATAGTTTCAGTGATATTCTAGGGAGTCCAAAGTAGTTAGATAGATATGAAAGTCCCCTTTTATAGATCCTCAATGAGTTATAAATTGAAGGGAAGAAAAGTACTGGAATAAATATTTTATGTGCCCTGTGACCTGGAATGTGACACCAATTACAGAGCTATTTCTCTAACTGGGCCACCTCAGGAATGGTCTAAAAATGACTCGAAGGTAGCTATCTCATTAAGAAATTCACTTTTGTAGGATTTATTAATATATTGTCTTAAGGAATATAAGACCGATTTGTAGTCCTCCTACAATACTTAACTCATTTGTTATTTTTATTAAATTCCATGGACAAGGGGCGCCTGGGTGGCTCAGTCGGTTAAGCGTCCGACTTCAGCTCAGGTCACGATCTCATGGTCTGTGAGTTCGAGCCCCGCATCGGGCTCTGGGCTGATGGCCCAGAGCCTGGAGCCTGGTTCCGATTCTGTGTCTCCCTCTCTCTCTGCTCCTCCCCCGTTCATGCTCTGTCTCTCTCTGTCTCAAAAATAAATAAACGTTAAAAAAAATTAAAAAAAAATTCCATGGACAAGATAATTTTTTTTTTTGTGACTTCTGAAAGAGAATAACATCTGAAAGGTATGAGGTAGGCCAAGGGTTTAAATTTCTATGCAGCCTTGTCCAATAAATACAATTAGAAAGGATGGAAAAAGTAGAAACTGAGGGAAAATCAGTATCCGTAATTCAACCTCAAAGGCATCATAATTTGCATTGTGACAGATTTGCTTGTGGTCTTCTGAGATTGGTCTCTGTGATAATAGGATCCAGTAGGGGATCCTATTTTTCATTTGCATTTTGCTGCTATCTAACCATTAGAGGAATGGTCTGCAGTTCACCAATCAAGATGTTTTCCTTACAGAGTATAATTTTTTTCAAAGCCCAGAATCTGACAAGTATTGGAGAAGCAATATAAAAGAGGAGATACCGAGAAGAAGGAGACTGCGCAGAGACACCTTTGCGGAAAAAATGGTACAATGGTACTAGGCTGGAGAGTCAGGTACATACCTACCCTCAGGGCTGGCTCTAGGCAGGTATCTAGAGAAAAGTCTCTGCCCACTGGAGGGGTCAGGTGTGTGGTGTGCACTAACCTGGGCAATATACTGGGTGATGATGATCAAGCTGACCAGCATGCTGATGTTGGCCAACATGGAGAAGACGGTCAAGACCCTGAGGTTCCGGATGAGGACCAGCAGCACCAGGAAGGGCAGGAAGGCAAGCATGTAGAGTCGAGAGTCCATGGTGGGCGTCAGAATCACTGTCTCATTGTAATGGCAGTTGTTGGTGGTGCCATTAACTGCTTCCACTACCTGAGGAAGAAATGGGAAAAGCAAGGGGGAAGATTCAATGTATCTGTTGGCCACACGATGAGCTTAGTGCGTGGCCCATAATCAAGTCCCTCACAAAGAGCTGGAATATCTCACGTGCCAGGGCCTCACAATGAGTTAGGGTGGGTGTCTCTTTTGCTTATAACCAAAAAACCCATCGCTTACTGTTTCTTAATTGGACCAATACTGGCATTCTGAGTGAGAGAATTATTCTTTGTCAGGACTGCATTCACTGCAGGACATTTAGCATCCCTGGACCCCACCCAATAAAAGCTATTTGCATCCCCCAATCATTGTGGTGCACAAGAAACACCCCTCTGCACACAATACAAACATCCCCTGGTAAAGTCAGGGGGAATGGGGGAGAAGAGGGTTGGTACTACCCTCATTTAGAATCAGCCTGAATTAACTGATAGAGTTGTATTCTGCAAGCAATACAATTAGAACAATTAGAAACTAGAGTTAGGCAAGAAGAAAACGTAAAAGCAATGACAATCTCAGTACCCATTGGTAGCCAGGGTAATGTCCTGGAATATATTCATCTATGCATTTTCATGTCTTTTTTAAAAAAAATGTTTAAATGTTCTTATTTTTGAGAGAGAGAGAGAGAAAGAGAGAGTGAGAGAGCACACACACATGGGGGAGGGGCAGAGAGAGAGGGAGACACAGAATCCGAAGCAGGCTCCAGGCTCTGAGCTGTCAGCACAGAGCTCGACGCGGGGCTCAAACCCACGAACCCTGAGATCATGACCTGAGCTGAAGTCGGACGCTTAACCTACTGAGCCACCTAGGTGCTCCCCATTTATGCATTTTCTATACCATATCACAAATTACATGTATCACATGCATCCTTTCCATTTTACAAGACTGCAATCACAGCATATGCTCTTATTTTGAAGTCTCCTTTTCATTTAATATACCACAGCTACTTGAACGAACGATTAAGTCTATTTTTTTTCTGATTCCTCACTATAATAGGAAAAATATTTGGCACATTAGCCAGCCCTCATGGTCTTCTATACTGGGCACCATTCAATCTGGAAGGCTCTTCCTCTCCCAAAGCCGACACCTTCTACAACCAATTTTATTGCCTCTCCTGGCCAAGTCCTGCACATTCCTGCCTCCAGGTGTTCATGCCTCCCTTCTCGGCTGCCAGAACCTCTCCTCCAACCTTCCTTCAATACCCAGCCCAGATGGACCTCCACAAGGGAGACTTCCCTTGCTCTAATAATCTTTTCTGCCCCCACGTATTTTGCCCCTTAAGTTCACAATTAAGCAGCCCTGCCCTCAGAGTGTTGTCAGTGGTGTCCTGACCCAGCACCAAAATACACTGATGCTAACTTTTTATTTTTTAGAACACATTCTACTGAGCCTGCCAACTCTTCAAGTGAATGCTTGCTATGTCTTTAGACAGAGATGATAACGTTCAGCAGACTGATTTCCAAGCGGCCATCTGACGACGTGTTTTCAGAGCCTTCAAACAATCAAACTCTTTGACCCCATAATTTTACCTTAAGGACTATATGCTAAGGAAATAAAGGGGTATACAAACATTGCCACAGATTTTAGTAGAAAAACAAAGGGAAAAAAAGAAAATATCCAACGACAGAAGACTAAGTCATGGCTAATCTGTGTGATGAAATATGAAACTAGCAGAAGTTATATTTAAAAATATAAGGACATTACAAAATGCTCACCAGCTGATACTAACTTAAAACAATAACCTGAGTGGTTGAATTAACAATAACTTTGTTTCATTTTGAAAAGCAATATGGTATGGTGTTCAAGAACTGGAGCTCTGATGTCAAAAGGCCTGGATTTTTGACTGTGCTTCTGTGATCTTGTATACATTATAGTTCATAGCTTTAGTTTTCTCATCTGCGAAATGGGAATAGCCACAGTACCTACTCTGATAAGGCTATGGAGAGAACTGAATGAAGGGAAGCCCATACCATGCTCCCTGTTCCTGACATAGAACAGACGTTAACTCTGAACGCTTACTATTTTTTCCTTCTGATTTCTTTACATTTCTAAATTTCTAAATCATTGACTAAGGATGGCCTTTGTTACTACCCATATTATTTTGCTTATATTGCTACAAGATAACTTC